AAAATAGAGTTTAATAGCAAATATCGTGATTATTTTGTGAAATTCATATGGAGTTCAGTTAATAAAACAGGTATGCTAATTTTTATTTATCGATAATATTCTCTTTCGAAGACAGTCAGCTATATACGTATTCCGGTCGGCCTTTCCTCTGTCAATTGTAACAAAAATAATGCAAAAGAACAACAATAAGCTGTATATTTCAAAACATAAAATTTGTACAGATGGAAAGTTTGCATCCTAAAATACTTGGAAAGTGCTGCTAGAATCCCTAGTTGAGCATGGTTTTACGAGAAATCTCGTTTCATATGTAAAAAATTCAAAACATCGGTTAAGGTTTCGTGCGAATGTGTGGAATAATTATTTTACTGACGGGATTGTGGGATTCTAGCAGCACTTTTTAGGCAAAATAGATGTTTTTCAACTACATTATTTACTCAAAAATTTTTTTAAACTCCGGGGTATTGTTGTTCTGGTCGCTTTTTTATTAAGGAAAATTTGGCTATAAATAGAAGTCACGTGATGCCGTGGTTGTGCTGCACGTCGTTGCGTTAGACACTCTTTTATCTTTATGCAATAGATAATAGTAGTTTACGCTTATCAGCGGTTTTGGTAAATTATCAAACTAAATTTTCTTTAAAATGTCGGAATTTCCCGAAAAATGACTTATATGCTTCCTTAACATACCCGCGTTATACAAGCAGGATTTTTAGTCATAATATACACCTTAGCATGAAAGACATCTTTACCGAAACACTAACAATTAGGTGCAATAAAACTGTATATCTCAATATTCTTTATGTTAAATATTTAAAAAATGTTTTTAAAAAACACAAATGTCTAGTTAAATATTGATTCCTTTCTGCATTTCAAAAAACAATCTTTTTTTATATTCCGGTTGTGACTTTTAAATTAAGGTTTATGTGAACATTTTATTGAGTTGTGTCTATCCTCCTATAACGCCAAAACCCGTAACTAACTTAAACTCATACCCAATAGAACGATATCTTTTGGCTTTTCAATAGGTGAAATAATAAACATTGTTAAGTCAAACAAATTAAAAAGATGTATATTCTTTTTATCAAATCAATTATTCAATCTTTAACAAATGTTGACAAGAGCAATGACTCCTTCTCATCTATCTTCATTCAGAAAGTTTCTTTATTGCACTTCTGAGATAAAACAGTTTTCCTGATATTCACAATTAAAAGTATATCATAAGTAGCAAGTAATACAGAACTTTCAGCATCAGATTTATGCATTTGATCCAGTGTTTACATAGTTTATAAATTAATACAATATACAAAAAAGTACTATTTCTTAAGCTTGATGTTGAAACAAACTTCTGTTTATTCAGGTCTACCATCTTAAATAATATAGCATCGTATACATTTTTTTTCATAATTGATAAATTTAACTACAGTGTATATTAAATGAAATTATATACACCTTTTGAACTCTGAACCATTATAATTGTGAAGGTGGAAAGACCTTAATATTCTAATGTTTGTATCTATTGTAGAATCAACAACAGTAACCGCTCTAAGTAAGCATCTCATTTGGTTTATTTTTTCCTTAGATTTAGATTTCATTTTATTTTTATTTGAATACATTCAGTGTTGAAATTAATCTTTATTAGAATGATCAACAGACATTTATATAATATTTTGTTAATTTAAAAAGTGACATACTTTTATTTAATCTATGACTGAGATTTTTTTTTCTTTACAGGTGGCAGGGGTAACACAGGAGGAGCCGCCTCACTAGAAACCAAACTTCTATCAACTACATGTATTGTCATTATGTTGTCAGTCTCTCTAGTTTATATCTGATTCTCAGTAAAACCACAGATTTGAAGTTAATATTTTCTCATTTTTTCTGTATAATATCACGAATTATATATTTTATAGCATATCACACAAAAATCAATTAAAAATCTTATTTCATTTAAAAGTTAAAAAACTTTAATTTTTTTGGCGGGTTTGATTGACACATCCTTGCACTTTCACAAATTTTAACTTCATTTTTAATCCTTAGGAAAAGCGGCAATTTTGATGTGTTTTAATGAGAAATATTCAAACTTTTATCAAGAAAAAATTTTTTCATTCTCTAGTTTATATCTAATTCTCAAAACACCTTCACAAATATCTATCAACTAAGAGATGTACAGAGTTTAGCAAATCAGCACACTGGTGTTATGTACACAGTTTTTGAAAACAGTCAGTTCTCTCTATTGTTTATATCTAGATTCTCTGGGTGCGTTCAATCGTCACAGTCTGCTTACCACAAGTGCACGGACTCAATATATTGTGTGTTTGTTTCTCTAACGTTATATCTGAATTTTCTGGATTATAGTATTAATATTTTTCATTTATACAAAACACTTTTCCTAAGGATTAAGAATAAAATTAAATTTGTGAGAGTGCAAGGATATGTCAATCAAACCCGCCGAAAAATTTGAAATTTCAATATCTTTAAAACGAAATCAGATTTTTGATTAATTTTTGTGTGAAATGCTATTAAAATATATAAGTCGTAATATGATAGATAAAAAAAATAACTTCAAATCTGTGTCCAAGTACCTTTAAAACCAAACTTCTATCATTTACGTCATTATGTTGTCAGCCTCTCTAGTTTATATCTGATTTTATATGCGATTTAACATTTTAGTAGCATAATCAATGATAAATTTAAACCTTATCATTTGGATTTATGACTCTCTAATCAATGTCTAATATCAAAAGTTACATTAAAGACAATAAAACTGTTTAATCATATATAAAGATTACAGAAAATCAATTTAATTCAGGTAACATATTTTTAATGTTTTTAATTATTTTTAATGAATATCATATATTGTGCCATACATGCATAAATTTGTCATTTTTCTTTTCAAGTTGTAGCTTTTTGTTCTTAAAATAAATTGTATCTTTGTTTTTGTGACTTATTTCAAGTGCATAAATTTGTCATTTTTCTCCGTGATCAAGTTGTAGCTTTTTGTTACATTAATAAATTGTATCTTAAAATGTTTTCCTTCGCCATGACTTTGATTTCAGGATAGTGACATTGCATATATGTTACTACCAGTCATTTTTCCCTTCACCGTTGCGGTACATTAACAATATACAATCAATCAATCAATCAGTAGTGACATTGCGTTACTACCAGTATTGTTGCGGTCTAACAATTCATATGTTGGCTCGACAGGCCGATCATCATTGAACTTGTTATATTGATTTGATTAACATTTCTTTTTTCGGACTTTTTATCAGTTATAAATATAATATAGAAAGATATTTCTAAGGGTTATACCAATACAGTTTGTTAAATCAATTAGATTTTAGCACTCATTATAAAACATAGAACAAAAACAGCTGAAGCATGTAGTTCTCAAAATATCGACTGCTATTTATTAATAAAAAAAGGTTTCGATTTTGTTCTCGTTGCTTACCAATTTTTTGTATTGATAATAAGCCGCGATTTGAAAATAAGACGGTTTTGAAAATAAGCCCCTACTTTCTTACCAAAACTTAGAATTAGTCGCGGCTTATTTTCAAGGTTTTAGGGTATTCAGCATCCCATCTTTAAGTATATTTGAAATAAATTAAGGCTCATATAGTTATAAATCAATCTATGTTTCATTGATTCAGGTATAATATCTACACCGATATTTTGAGGGAAATGATTTTTGTAATTAACCGTAATTAATCGAATAGATGTGTTGTTTTTTATTTGAATATACCTAAATTCCTTGACCAAAGGATACACCTTGTCAAGTTTTGTTAAAAATGGTCCAGTCGTTCTGGAAAAGATGAGCCATCGACGACAACAATGACGTCAGACAATGCAACGACCATAATTTGATCAGAAAAGTACACTAGTACTTGATTTTAAATAGGCACGAGTATTCTAAAAACTGTTAATTTATTTAATAATCCGTACAACTTTTCAATCAACTGGAAAAAAAATATATCAGCGGATTGCACTTCGGATGTCCTTTAAATAATTTTACTTCAGGAAACCGTATTTAGCAAGTTATTACATATGACATCATCATTATTTTCCAATGCTATCGTGGAAGCGAGGGGCATTAAATCTCATTCGTCTGTCCGTTTGTCTAGCTGTCCGTCCGTCACCATAACTTTAACCTAGGTCATGACTTTTAAATGAGAAGAAAAGGGGCTTTCATATTTCATACCGTATAAGTGGAAATTTTAGCGAGACGCAAATTTAGCGATTTCTCTTAAAAAATGATAACTTGTTTTTAGCGAGGGGTAATTTTAGCGATTTTAAGATGCTAACTAAAGAAGATACTGCAAATAACATGCAATTAATTTTTAGCGACCTCAGGACCCTCCCTAATAATGCCAAAATTAAATCCTCGCTAAAATTTCTACTTATACGGTATATATAAATCACTTGTGACAAAATCTTTGGTCTCTACAATGTTTGCTTGCCCTCTCCCAACTTAGGGTATAATTATTGGGTCAGTAGGTAGGTAAAAAATCTTTTTTCTGTAGATTTCATTGTATTTGTTGACGGGCTTTGTGGAATAAAGAGAAAAAATTTGTAGTGTCCAGGTTTTTAGAAAAAAACGTTTTAATCGGGCCATTTTATTCAATCGGTCGGAAGAGGGCAACCAAACAATTTTTTTTATAAATGGACTAGGAAGCAACTTTAGGAATAATTTTCACACAAGAGATCATGAAAATGGTAATGAATCTTTTAGTAAAAAAAAAAAGAATTTTAAGTAATATTGCTTTTTTAAAAAATTGTACCTGTTAATAAGTTTTAAGGCTGAAATTTAAAAAAAATAAAAATCAGTTTGATTAAGTATTCTAATGAAACATTCCAAATATTTCCAAATTCTAAAAATCTCAATCATTACATAGAGAGTGTTTCACAACAAAAACATGCCTATTAATATGGTAATTTTTTTTCTGTTACATAAATGTCTAAAGCGCTGTCATAGAAGCGTAATTTTGGCGTGAACGGCTCCTTCGTAGTTTCTGTGTGTAGAGATGCTTCAGTGTTCGACATGTAAGATGCCCTCTGAGATTTATTCCTTTCATGGTATGGCATTTGTGATCCATATGATCAATAAAAAGGGTATGAACTTATATTTATTGGATATTATGAAGAGTAAAAGATATAGTCCATAACATTAGTTAAAAATATGAATGCAGAGGATTACGTTGAGTGATGGGTATGCATATTTACAAATTCATGAATATTTACAAAATTCATACGGTAAGCAAGAAGACTAAAAATATGTCGTAATTTGTTCATGTTTTCATTATTTAGTAATAATGGTACAGTGTACTACTAACATATATTTTTCTCGTTGGTATATCAGATATATAGATCTATATACATCTCGCAATGTTGGTGTGTGGAATGTCTGCCGACTTACATGTAGATGATAAGTATTTAGTATGGAACACCGCAGGAATATCAAAAACAATAAAAGACGAATATTTCCAGGGTCTGATCAATATACAAGTACTATATCCAAACCAGTTGAAAGTCAGAAATATATATTCAGCATACGGTATATCTTGACTTAAAGTAAATAAAGTAAAGTATTTGAAGTATACACTATTTTTCTTATACAAATACGTTTGTTTAAGCCTTTATTTATTCATAATCTTAAGATTGTAAATATTTCACCCCATATATTTCTGGCGTGCATGTTTAAAATTGGTTGCTCAAAGAGGAAAATTCACTGCTTTGCCCTACAAGATGGAGGCTAATGGGAATAACTCCGAGGCAAAATATGTCATAAGAAAACCCTCTATTAACTTGATATATGAAAAGAAATTTAGCTATCCAAAATCAACATGATGGTTCAAAACACAAGCCCTTGTTCTGTAAAAAAAAATGTGTAAATATTATTTTACTATGAGTTAGAAATTTATTACCAAAACAAGTGCCTTTGGTTTAGACAGGGAGTCGAAGTCCCCGTAGGCTAATTGATTCTTGAGATTTTGATAAAGTCATTTTATCATTGCCGTTGTAATTTAATGTAAGGTCATTAACCTTAGTGTCATTTGAAAGAGTTTAATTATTGGAGTAAGCATATCAAATAAAAAGTCCCTTTTATAAGTCTATCTTTTTTGGTTCAAAAGTTATGACAATAGTTCGATAAATCTATTTCAAGCGGTCATTACTCTTGGTGTATTTGGAAGAGCTCAATTATTGGAGCAAGCATACTAAATATGAGGTTGATATCTCTCATGGTTCAAACGTTGTGGCGAATGTGAAAGTCAACAACAGATGAACAAACAGACAGACGGGACAAAAACAATATACAGCCACGATCCATCGATCAGGGCGCATAAAAATCAACTGTGACCGAAATCAAGTGTTCCAAAAACGAAGACAAGGTTATTTTACCATAAAAAAAATTCATTGCAGTACTAGTATTTTTTTTTAATTTTAAGAAAGAAAATGTTTACAAGACTTTAATGCATATTTTATACTCTTCTGGCAAAATGTACTCTCCATTATGAAAAGATTTAAGCTATTGTACTTAACACTTTTATAAGGTTTTTTTTTTTTTTAAAGACGTTATGGCAAATAGCATCTTGTCATGAATCATGACCAGGTTTTCGTATTTCCTATTTTTTTTTACTAATGCTTAAATTACAAATTTCTTTGTAGATGGTCATGGATACGCTTTCCTTTCTGCAAGCTATCGCTGTTTTTGTATTTTTGGCACATACAACGAATTTACGTGAGTATAAAATTAATAATATTTCGCTATGACATTTGATGACAATCATTTCTTACGCTTAATTATGAACTCGGGTAATAAAAAATAATGTTTTAGTAGCTTTTTATTCTCTCCATAGTTAAGTGAATTATTATTCAGTATTCATGAAGGCTAAAAGAAGATACACATTTACCCTGAATTGACGATGGATTTTACCGATATTTTATGAATCATGACAAGGAGCACACGACAAGTGTGACCAGTCGGTAGGAGATGCTCATTCCTCCATAGCAACTAATCCCGTCTTCGATGTTTTGGTGTTTATTCTGGTCCTAATTTGTATATTGTTTTATGATCATGAATACTGTTCGGTATCTCCATATGTTTCATTATACATAAAAGGCTTTTGCTATACAACTAGAACAGAGGTTAAAATGAAAAAGTTAAAGATTACAAACAGTGTGTAAACAGAGAGAGGTCCTTTTTAAAACCCCGTTGAAGACAAATCAAATATATTTTTGAATTTTTTTCTGATGAATTGTCGAAATTAGTGAATTCGTTTCAGGTAATTAAAAAAATAATGTTACAACGAATTCAGCCCGTAAATAAAATTCCTTGAAAAAATTTCATCAATTCTTTCAATCATTTTATATATTTTTTTCTGAAGGCCCTTTTTCAGCTCACCACAACAAAGTTGAGATGACTTTATGCTACCCCCCCCCCCCCCTGCGTCGGCGTAAACGTCAACGTTCCGGTTAAAGTTTAGGAGCAGGTCTACTCCAAAGTAACTATAATCTCTCCATGGACCAACCATGCATGGATGTTACCTCTTAAATATACCCTACGAGGCTTTCCTCGAACGTTAGATCTGGGGTTCGTTTTACAAAAGAACTTACGACTAAGACCAAAAACTTCAGATGATTGTAAAATTTTGCAAATTAATATTTGTCTTCAAAATTATTTGTGTAAAAATATCTTACCACATTTCCTTTAAAAAGATGAAGATAATTTTCGATATGATGTTTCTTAAAAGGTTATATGAAGAATTAAATTTGGTCTTAAGTCGTAAGTCCCTTTGTAAAACGGGCCCCAGACCTACATTTTCCAGATAAATGACTAGGATAAATACTGTACCTTTACATAAATTGGCGCATTCAAAGTTAAGCGTCATTACTGAGTATATAGATTTTTTTTATCGTAATCATGAAATAGCGCTACATGTGTTTGGGTGCCCTGTATTGTATTTATAAATTATTTCTTTGGGGCATTCATGAATTAGCATATCATGCCATATTTCCTTAAGAAGGTATATGGTTAGTTTTTGAAACATATCCATTTCCAAGGATTAGTAATTATAAATTCTTTTTGAACCTAACTATGTTGTATATTGGTTTGGGGATGCACACTAACTAGGAAAAAATATAACAAGATACATAATTATTAATAAATTTATTTTTTTAAAAAATAACTACACTTACTAAACAATTGATTTCCTTAACAAAATATCTTTAGCATAATAAAGTTATCTTCAATCTCAAGGAAGAGATAATAAAATATTTTTTTAAACACAGGGGAGGAAATCATTTTTGTCAGGAAATCATTCAACCATACAACCAGCGTTTAAAATATAATGCACGAGTCAAATTAAAGGAGTTGATGAGCGCAATAATTGAGTAATGAACAATCAGAATGTTGCGCACATCAAGTTTTAAGTAAGCGTCTCATAGAAAACCATGCAAAACATTTCACAAGCAGGGTTTATGTATTGATATCAATTTTTGTGTGCAATATAACATTGATGTGTCATAAAAATTGCCACCTATATTTTTTTTCTCATCTTTGCCTTTGTTCATGAGTTAGAGGTATATAAGTAAAATAGAACTTGTAGCCAAACTAGAAGCTTCAAATCATGGAATCTAGACATATTTGAGGAAGTCTAAACAAACTATGACATTTCATGCATTGAAAATCATCATTATTGATAGGCATAAAAGTATGTTGCATACAAAACCATTAAGGATAGTAAAAATTATTCAGTACTAATCCATTTTAGTACAATTAGACAAAATTGTGTGCAGCGGTTTATGAGGAGTTGTGCTGACAAACAATTCATTTCTATATTCATGATATGGCCAAAAATCTAAGTTGACAAATTGCGGAAATTCCCAAAAAATAAAGGAATTGGAATTTTCTGGTTTCTGAGATTTGTTTTTATTATTTACATAAAAGCCTTCGGCATTTATGCAAATTTTCACACAAGTCAATCTATTGATCACATCATGAAATCGAAGAAGAAGACATTATTCCTTAATTAATATACACATGAATACAGTATATTGATAGAAAAAGTTTAAAAATCCTTTTATTCTATTTTTTCTGCAATCAGATATGGCTCTAGATAATAATGAATTTAATTAAATAAACATAACTCTTACAAATTCATGATCAATTGTCATAAGTCAAATTGGACACCGATTAGATTTCAGGCCTTCCACTTCATGTTTTATTCATGATAATCACTTTGAATTTATCGCGATATCAAGTATTGCATTCAAAATTTGGACTTTCTTGGGATGCTCTTCCAGTTCTATACCCGTTTTAAAATATTTGAGATGTAAGCTTGTGGAACATTTTTGCCATTTTGCATTGTTTTCTCTGAGACACTCAATTAAGTAGATGGCTATCTGTGAACGAAAAAGATTGATTTAGTTTTATTTTTAGATGCAGAGTTTCAGATCAGTATTGGTCAAAGATTAAATCTTCACTTTGGACCCTATCGGATCGGTGACACTTATCGAGGAATATGTGACGTGGAAATATTCCCTGATGATAATATAACGAACGTGGACGTCTATTGGAAAGTTAAGAATACTGACTATTGTCACAACGGTCAAAAAATATGGCTAAATTTGAACTATACGTGTAATGCAACTACGGTACAGAATACAACTTACTTCGAACTTAGAGTTCCAGGTACATTGCGATGCTTCTGTTCCCTTGTATTTTTTCATAACAAGTGCATATAATATAATTTCTAATTCAACAAACATTTTGTCTCATTAGACCTGACATTAGAAGATGCTGGTACATACGCTTGTAAAGTAAAGCATAAAATTAAAGGTATCACGTCAACTTCTTCTGAAAATATTACAGTCATAGGTAAGTATGGAATTATGCTGAAATAAAATGTAATAAAAATACTGTCTAATTTTAGTAATTCTTACGTCTTTTGTCGTATAAATTCAATTTTAGAATAATATTTGTCATTTGATTTTACAAGGAGGCAATAATTTAGTTTAAAAGTTATAGTATGACGTTGTTATTAAACACACTCTAATTAAAATCAGAATTCTTAGATCCGAGCCGTATACACTCTGCATTACACACACACAGGGTGTATACGGCGCGGATCTAAAAATTCTGATTTTAATTAGATTGTTATGAAACATCTTTAGTTCTCTATTTATGTTCTCAATTTAAGTATTGTACGATCAACTATAATAATTCTTTCTTTTCTTACAGATCCTTCTATCACAACACCAGGTAATATACTGGGTTATTTCTTGAACATTGTTTCCTTTTAATCTTAACAATGTTTCCATCATTATATTATCATTATATTTCAATAAATATGCCTTACAGATAAAATAAATCTTACAATTTTACAAAAAAAACTAGTTATTTAATATTAATTCCTCTCTGAGGGAAAAAATGTTATATTCCGGTGTTTATATGAACATTTTTAGTAATTATCTAATGTTTGAATCTTTTGTAGAATCAACAACCGTAACGACTCTTAGTAAGCTTATATATCTTTTGATTTTTTTATTCTTAATTTAGATTTCTTTTAATATATTCAGTGTTATCAATAATCTTTATTTAAATGATCAACAGAAATATATATTTATTGTCAATTTAAAAGTGACGTACTTTTATTAAATATATATTTTGTCACATTTAAAAAGTGACAGCTACTTTTATTAAAAACTTCTATGACTGATTATGTTTTCTAGTTTATATTTACAGATGGCAGGGATAACCAAACTACTTCTATCAACTCTCGTCATTATGTTGTCAGCCGCTCTAGTTTATATTTGATCCTCAGTAGAAACCAAACTTCTATCAACTATCGTCATGTTGTCAGCCTCACTAGTTTATATTTGATTCTCAGTAGAAACCAAACTTCTATCAACTCTCGTCATTATGTTGTCAGCCTCACTAGTTTATATTTGATTCTCAGTAGAAACCAAACTTCTATCAACTCTCGTCATTATGTTGTCAGCCTCACTAGTTTATATTTGATTCTCAGTAGAAACCAAACTTCTATCAACTCTCGTCATTATGTTGTCAGCCTCTAGTTTATATTTGATTCTCAGTAGAAACCAAACTTCTATCAACTCTCGTCATTATGTTGTCAGTCTCTCTAGTTTATATTTGATTCTCAGTAGAAACCAAACTTCTATCAACTATCGTTTATATTTGATTTTATATGCGATTTACATTTTATTTAAAATAATCTATGGTAAATTCATAATTTCAACAACAATATGAAGTAAACCTCTAGGACAATTAAACTTCTTTATCAAAGTGATCAAAGTAATCAGATCAATTTAGGTGCTATTTTTATTTATCTCTTTTTTTTATATTCATTTCATATATGCATAAATATGTAATGTTTCTTTTGGAGTACTTGCTTTTAATTTGTAATAATTTGTAATAAAAAATTATTTGTATTTTTGTTGTTACGTCTTCTTGTAGAAGATTGATCAATACAACCTGCACAAGAAAAGTTATATTAAACAAACAGGTATCCGATTCAAATTCCATAAAATGTTTAAAAGCTTGTTTCCTTACTTCACACGAAAACATTAGCAGTAGTGAGATACTTCGGGAGTCTTGTACAGGAAGCGCTGAGTGATGTACTATAGATTAAGTTCCTTATTAACCCAAGGAACATGGCAAAAATTGAAGGAAAAACATCTTTTCAAAATGATTAACATCAAACCGGACGACATTGCAACACAATTCAACAATTTTAAACAAAAATTTCTCATGACAGATGGAATTCATTCCAGGATTATTTAAGTGAGAGAAAGCTACTTTTTCAAAAACATATAAGTCTTAAATTCAAATATCTTCTCATTATTTGTTTACATAAATTATTTTGTGCAATCATTCTGAGTACACACATTAGCGATCAGAAGTGATATTACATAGACCTACGTTGTAGCAGCGATGATGTTTATTTACATAAGGTAAGATCAGACTACATGTATAGTTTGGAGTTAAAGGTACATTTTTTAAATCTGGAATTTTTCATGAATCCCGAGGACTGGAAATGAGGGGATTGATGGATACAGATGGTTCTGCTGGTTGTCAAGGGGGTGTATCCCCATACAAAACCAGATTATATAGAATATTTTGCGATCCTTTTTGGAAATCAACCAATAAGAGGCTAGAATAAATCTCAGGTAGATGCACTGCTTATTAGTTGTTACAATTAGATCCTGATGAGTTGGAGAAAAGATGTTAAATTTGCAATTGATATTCAATTTCATAACAACAGAAAAAAATCAATGTCTCACTGTTCTTTGATTACTTTAATTCATTATGCTAAAGATAAACTATCCAATAAATTCTAAATTAGATTTTCTAAATCAATATCTCTTTGTAGCGATGTGATACGTAAACACTTTAATTTTTGCATGAAAAGTTAGAGTATAGTTGAGGTTTTTTTTTCTTTTCTTAAGTAAGTCACTATATATCATAGTGATACTTCAGCTTTTCGCTGAATTATTTCTAATCTTACTATATGTACCTTTATTTTTTTGGTGTGTGTGTGTGGGGGGGGGGGGGGGGGTAAGGAATGATGTATTATGTCTTGCAGTTAAACATGAGGTATAAATAAACATTTCAATATCCAATTAAGGTATGCGAAATATTTTTTGTTCACTGGCCATGTCAATTGTTGATTTCCAATGCGATTGGCTGAACATCAGATCATAATATAAAGGCGCAAATATTCAATATATACAGCACTCATTGTGATCAAGCAACCATGGGTAGGATATATCTATATATTAACTCCGGACAGTAGGTTGAGACAGGGGTTATTTGCAGACTTGCTTATTTTTCCCGTCTGGGCACAGGGGCATCTTACCCACTCTGGTCACTACTTCACATATAAAAATACACAAGGGAAGAATCGAAAGTAGCACACGATTTTTAAACTAAGTCAAAAAACAACTTACTTGAGAAAAGTTACAGAAATCCTGAAATTAACTGGCGCAAATGATGTCCTAGTACTTATCCAAGCTAAAATATTCCAAATATATCTATCGAAAATAGCTTTTATTCAACGAAAATCCCAGCTTTCTGCACAGTGTGAAACTCTTCTCCCAAGAAAAGATAACTCACTCGGATGACAATAGGGTAGTACCTGAGGCCTTCCCAGTGCAATCTGAAGGCCTCGGGTACTACCCTATTGTCATCCTGTGGTCTGGGTCGCAAAGTAATACATGCAAGCATTTGAAATTAATTTATTTGTCTTTATATATAATTTCTTTGCTTTCTGCAATTATTTTTTATATAATACTTTCCTGTAAATTAGCTGAATCTAATTGGTTGAGAAACATTTGTAAAAAAACACTTTTACCCGCTGAATAATGAAACCACGCCCTCCACCGTAGCAACAGTCTACAGTGCTTGATGACGGGTGATATTCCAAAAAATAGCGACTGCGCAGAATTTATGCGCGCACGATTCACTGTTATATGTATTTGTATGAAACATTCAGAATAATTCAATAAATATTTTATGTAGTTGGGTGTAACATTGAAAATTTTCACCCCCAAAAACATTGTCAACCGAGACACTCAACTACATGCAATATCTATCTAATATGTGCTGTTTTGATTTTTGAATTAAAAGAATAGACTTTACAAAATCAGAATTGATATTTTTTTTATTATTTTTTTTTTTTACAAATTTCAATATGAAATGAAACGGTCGGTGTTTTTCAAGTGTTTCATTACATTTTATTATTGTTTCCTTTTTTGTCTGAAATGCTCTTTTAAATCTGTAATAAATTTATACTCCGTACGAATTAAAATAACAAATATTAAACTTAAAGAAACTGCTGTGTTTCCCTGTCGGGATGCTTCCTGGACAAAAATGACGGATAAAAGCTTTCTTGTACTTGAGATTAATTGTTTTTTTATATGTACCCATAAAAATGTGATCGCCTATGCATGGTAGAGCTACACTAATCAGGAGCGGTCATAATTTAATTCTAGATTGTATCAGAGAGTTTTCGTTAAAGTTTCCTATCTACTCAGATTTTCTTGGGGAAATAACCGAACCCATTTTTTTAAAATAAATAAAGGCATTGCTTCATTTGAACAAACTCTAATTCCTTGTCAAAAAATTACTCTGTGTAAAGTTTGGTTGAAAATGGTCAAGTTGTTTTGGAGAAAAAGAAGAGCCAACAAAGACATCAATTACGACAGAAAGCGAGCAAAGTTTGATCAGATAGTACTAGTACTTGACCTTAAGGCACAGGTATTTTAAAAACTATTAATTTATTTGACAATTTATGCAATTTTTCAATTAACTGAGATATAAAAATCGGTGGATTGCACTTCGGATGTCCTTTGAATACGTTTACTTCAAGGAAACGTATATTTAGCAAGTGATTTCATGACATCATCATTATTGTTCACTGCTATCTTGGAAGTAAGGGGCATTAAATCTCATTGGTCTGTCAGTCTGTCTAGCTCTCTGTCCGTCACAAAAACAATGCCATGACTTTTGAATGATAAGAAATAGGGCTTTCATATTTCACATATCTACATACTACTTTGGGAATACTTTTCATGCAAGAGATCATGAAGATTGTAATGAATCATGGATTAAAAACCTATGAAATAATATATATATATATATATATATATATATATATATATATATATATATATATATATATATATATATATATATATATATATATATATATATATATATATATATATATATATATATATATATATATATATATATATATATATATATATATATATATATATATATATATATATATATATATTATTGTGTTTTAAAAATCTCAATCATTACACATGTTAAAACCAGAGTGTTTCACAACAAAAACACGCGTATTAATAAAGATGGTAAGCTTTATGTAATGATAATGTCTAAAATGATGTCATAAGGGCATAATTTTGACGTGAATGTTTCCTCGTAGTTTCTGTAAATGTGCTTCAGAGTGAGTCTAAAATCACGGGCCTAGCGTAGTTATGAATATTTATGAGATGTCTCTAACGATTAGAAGAAACCCAGTGGTTTATATTATTTCCGGAATGTGAAACTGAAATAATCAAACTAATAATAGCATTTACTTTCCGGCGATGCTGATATGTACTTCCCTCTGAGTACAATATAATTAAACAAGGCTGTTGGAAAAGTCGATCACTTTAATATAACAAAAAAAAAAAAAAAATAACAGAATAGTATAATACATATAACAAAAGATATTGATACATTCCATTGAGTACCTGAGTACAACAATACAGGTGAGAGTCCTGTACCCTACGCTATTGGTACAGACTACTGAGTACAACAATACGGGTAAGAGACTAGTACCCTTGGCTATTGATACGGTCTACTGAGAAATACAAGACAGGTAAGAGTCCAGTACCCAAGGATATTGATACGGTCTACTGAGAACTACAGGACAGGTAGGAGATCAGTACCCTAGGCTATTGATACGGTCTACTAAGTACTACAAGACAGGTAAGGGTCCAGTACCCTAGGCTATTGATACGGTCTACGGAGTACTACATGACAGGTAAGGGTCCAGTACCCTATGCTATTGATACAGTATACTGAGTAATACAAGACAGGTAAGAGACTAGCACCCTAGGTTATTGATACAGTCTACTGGGTACTACATGACAGGTAAGCGTCAAGTAACATAGGCTATTGATATGGTCTACCGAGTACTACAGGACAGGTGAGAATACAGTACCCTAGGCTATTGATACGGTCTACTTAGTACTACAAGACAGGGAAGGGTCCAGTACCCTAGGCTATTGATATGATCTACGGAGTACTACAAGACAGGTAAGGGTCCAGTACCCTAGGCTATTGATACGGTCTACTGAGTACTACAGAACTGGTAAGTCACTAGTACCCTAGGCTATTGATACAGTCTACCAAGTACAATATATGTGACACATTTTATCTATGAATTATTAGGCTATCAATATATTCTACTGAGCACACTATTAATTGATACACCTGTACTTGAGCTATTGATACATTTATGTGACACACCTATACT